AAATTGGCTGATAACATTGAAAACAGCGCGAAAAAGGACAAAATTAGCAAAAATACCAGAGTAATTTATAAGAAAAATCTTTTGAAGTAAAGGTTAAGAGTCTGTGTGAAAAAACAAAGCGACAACCCCGCACGGCGTAGGAAAACTTGCCAGACACATTTAGGGCGTTTTAGCTGAAACTTACACATGAAGTCATGTCGATATGCGGTTAGAGACTCTTTTGCAGGATTTTTTCCCAATCGGCACCTTATATAATGTCGGCTAATCGTCGAATTATTTAATCGAGGGTGCGCATTTAAATTACACTCGCTCGCATTAAATGCACATTTGAAATTGTAGAAATTTCCATTTCAGTTCCAAATGTCACTTTAATTATTCGATTAAATTCAGTTACAGCCGCGTGGTCAATGTTTAATTATTTATAATATGGTGCATTAGAGTGCCAGTGGCGTAACCAGTGAGACCGATTAATTCCCGGCTTCAATTACTAAAGAAATGCCCTCAATAACCATCAAAGTTGTCACAAACGCGTTTCCACCACCTCTGAAGATGTAAGCTCATATTGTTTGCAAAACGTCGGGTAACTGTTCCATCATGCGACTGCAATAATGGACTTGTTACGCCACTGGCCAACGAATGTAATGCATCAGATGCAAATGCATCTACATGCACAGGAAACAAACGGATTTATGTTCAACAAACTGTTCACTAGGAAATGAAATGTTTGAAACCACACAATCAAATTAAGTGCTTTGTTATTTCAACCAATAATAATGCGAGTTGTGCAAGCCCGTCTTTTTATTGCTGAACATCCAGTAATTGTTATCAAATTATATTTGTGCGTTTACGTTTTGTAAAATCGGCGAAAATTGCCACATAAAACCAGCATTTTTGCGCTGTTTTTTCTGTTTGCTGGTTTTTACTGCATTCGTCCGGATGACTTTCGTAGCGTGACTGATCCAACCAATCAACCTCCAGGAAATCCGTAACATTCCGACGTTCATACAAAAGTTTTTCTGCATTTCCAATTACTCCAAGGAAACTACTTTTTGCAGCAGTCTTCTTCAATTTAACTGCATTACTGGGATGGTTGACGCACTATTTTTCATAATCCTCCCCCAATATAAATGGTAAATTTTGGGGGAATCAGGGCCTGCTTGGGTCCCCAGTTTGGGAAAGGGGGACTAGGGGAGAGTGGAGCAAAGCCCATCGACCCGATCGGTCTTTCGAAGGCTGCAACAGATATGTGGGCAACCGACGTCACCCCGTCCCCACCAATCGCCGTAATGTCGAAACCATGTCGTCCCGTTTTAATCCCCCGCCAGGACGCGGACGACGGCCGTCGGGACGCTCCTTTTATTTGACGATCGAGGAAAATTGCAAG